TAACATTCTCCTCCTTTGCGAATAAGCTGTTGTAGAAAGATGACGAAGTCGGTGAAATGTCACCACTGTATGCCCAGCCTAATCACTTGCCACGACAGATGTTGTTCTGACGCCTTCGGCACGAACAAGTGTGCGTAAGCAGTGCTGGCGTGCGTGATAACTGAACTATCTTAAAGGCGCACAAATGGCATGCTTCCCAGATCTGAGAAATTCGACATGCAGCTCACTCGCAGTTTAAGAGTTTAAGCTTCACATTATCCCATTCATAAGGAAATAGTATCACTGACACGTTGCAAAATCCCTGTAATACAAAGGACTGTGCAAGAGCACACGCAATGCATCAGCGGTCGTGCCGATGACGTGCGGCTCAAGTACTGGTGTCAGCCTCAAATCTGCAAGTGCTGAAGTACATATCGCTAGACCTGCTGCCTTTGAGGAACGTGCTGCCAGAATTCATTAAATCACCTGGTGTTTCAGGAAGCTTGCGATTAAGCCTGATTACATAATTTAGCTCAGACAACTAGTGTAATTCTCGCTGCAAATGCTAATTCAATATTTATTCGGATTGCAGCAGCCTGGGCCTATTGCTTTAATTGCTCTTCGGTAAAGTAAGAGTGCTGTGCGCGCACAAGGGCGACGAATCGGCCCGAACCAGGAAAGTCCGCGAAAAAGAACAGGATGATAGTGTGTCTCGTCTGGGACTCCTACTTCGGGACTCGAGTGAGCAGAGTCCACCTCAGGCGTATGCATAGGTCGGGACTCGAGTGAGCAGAGTCCGCCTCAGGCGTATGCACAGGCGAAGGCAGAAATGAATAAAATAAAAGAAGGCGATGGGATAATGGCCATGCTCATCTCAGGGGTTAATTGGTTGGAAAATGGTAAGAAGCCGACTCAACATTCCTTGAGGGTTTTCCAAAAGCAGGCAGTGAATATATACTTGTGCTCGATGGCTACAGGCTCGATAATGAACTCGGTTTATCTGTTTCAGTGAACGGAAACATCATCAAAGTTTGCGGACTTTTTACGTTTGCATAGCTCAAACAAAACGCCTGATAGGAACTTAAATTTTGTGGATGATGTTCCTCAGCTGACAGGTAACGAAAGAAGCCCGCTTGACGAATGAACGCATGCGGTGAATTCAATGTCGGGAAAAAGTGCCGTCTACCCAGTTCGACAAAAGGGATTGACCCCCGACTTTGTGAACATTAGTGAGACGTTTAACACGGCTTTACTGTCTGCCACTCAGCATCGTGGAGTAACGATGCTCATTCCTAAAAAGGCGGCCAAAATACGTTAAATCTTGGGCGACCAATTTGCTTCCTGGATGCCTCATATAAGAAGAGTCCTCACATTACGGCTGAGGCGGCTGCGGGATCAATGGGCGATTTGGATCAAAATGGATTTATCAAAGGAAGAACGTAAGTGATGGTTTAAGTGTCATACAGGATGCGATTGACTATGGTGACATTGACGACAATTCCGGTGGACTGTGTGCTTTGGACTTAAAGGCAGCACTCAATTCTCTTGGGCATGATTTTATATTCAATACGCCGCGACGCTTCAATTTTGGGGAAGATTTCGTGAAGTGGATGCCGCTTCTGTACAGTCGTTCAGAACTTGCAATTATCAACGGATACACCTTGCATTGGTTTCCGCCCCAAAGGGGAATTATGCAAGGCTTTCCTCTCTGGATTGCTTTCCGCACTGGCGGCTGAAGCATTGTCAATCAAAGTAAGTGCGTCAAATAGCAAAAGAAAAATACATGTAGAATTGAACGTGTTTCAGCACGCTTTTGATATTGCATTTTTTTAAGACGAGAAATCTGTGGAGGCATTGCTTTGTCTCGTGGAGGGCTTTTCTGGGCTTCTAGGACAGTGTAAAGCGATCAAAGCCCATATGGCTGGACCGCTGTCGTTCAAGTAGGCAACCAGTGTGTGGTAACCGGCCTTGGGAGAAAGTTAAGACCTTGGGTGTTTGGCTCTCTGCGAAGAAAACTTGTACAGGAGCTCATCTTAATCCTATTATTCACATCAACGCAATGTTGAGTTCATGGTCGAAGAGCCGTCTGAGCATCAGGAGTAGAGTAACTGTAGCAAAGAGTTTGATAATACTTAAGCTGAATTACCTCAAGCCATGCTTACCTCAACCAAATCCCGAGTCTGATAATGCAATTTATCTAGTGTGGTCGTCCACCAAAGGCGTTTCGTCACATTGTACCAGCTTTTTAGGCAATAGGGCTTAAGAGCAGCTTCAATACACAGTTTAAGCAATGCATTGAGGCTTAGTGAGGCCATTGATCCGCTAAACTTCACGTCTAAGTGTCAGTCAACACTTCAGCACCGCGTTACTCCGCATTCCCGTCAATATATTGTTCACAGCACAGAGCGGGTTTTGCGGTAAAATAATTTATAAATGTCGGATAAGTGTTTTTTACGCCGATCCATTCCAAAAGTATAGAGATCTGTGCTCTGCAAGGCAGACCGAGGCACGGCGATAAATGCTAGAGAGGAGATGCTGTGGTCTGATGAATGCACTCTGATTGACAACAGGCTGGTACTGCATCGTCGCTGGGAGAGTCACGGTACACGACTCGTTGATGATCTGGCCAAAAGACAGGAAGAATTTCTGACGCAATTCTAATTACGCGTCAATTATCCCGACTGAAGGATTGCCATGCTTCGATGCCAAGGACTTACTGGTGTGATTCCCACAAGATGGAAGACTTGCGTGACGGAAGAATTCTTGAATGTATGTCTATGCGAGTAATGAAGTTGAAGTTAGCGATAAACTAGTGATGCAAGAGCAACCATCAATAGCTTTTTAAAACGAAGGATTTATATCGTCAGGGATTAACGACTCGCGAACCGAATAACTCTAAAAAGGGAAACCGGCGGCGTTGCTCCCGAATCTTGTTCCGAATATCTAGAAATATCTTACTGCTGCAGTGCATCTACTCAGCTCCTGTCGTTCCAATGCCATATAGGGAACAGATATAACCCCACCAAACGGCTTCTATATAAAAGGCGCATAACAGACTCACAGTAGCGCACGCATTGTGGCAAAGATGACACGTTGGTCCAATACCTTTTTAGCTATCAGCTTCTTCATGAATTCTGGTGTTATGTATTCCGGTCCATCAATCGGTGTGTGACGCCTATCCATGTTTTACTTGACAAACGAGTGCTGTTGTATTTAGTGCGAGAAATGCTCTACATGCGGTAAATATTGTAATCTCCCTGGCCAAGCGACATGTACATGCAGCGGTTGGATGGAAGCTATTTTTCTCTAGATGGTCTCTGACCACAGATCAAGCAATGCTTTGATGCCGAACGATGATTGCTTTTAAAAGCGAGCGTAAGAAGCCGTGATTCGAAGGAAAACGACAGCATGTTTTCTGATAACGTGTTCAGAATATTTTTTAATAGATGCAGGAGGCGACACGCACAGACGGCGCAATCTCCCCGCAGTGGCTTCGCTCCCTGCGCGGCCCTACGTAGCAGCCCTGTCTGGCGGCCTTCATGTAGCAGTATATGTTTATGTGTGATGGCCTTGATGTAGCCGTGTATGTTCATATGTAGTGGCCTTAATGTAGCAGTGTATGTTCATGCGTAGTGGCTTTAATGTAGCAGTGCATATTCGCGTGTAGTGGTATTGATGCGGTATCGTTTCTAATACCTCTGCGAGTGTCTGTATATTATATCTGTATTGAGGTGTTGAGTGTGCAAAACTAAAAAAAACAGCCCTTAAAAACCTTATGACGTAATTTGTTGAACGTGCAGGGCTTTGCTGCCCACCGCGGCGCGTGATTCGGCTGCGAACAGCGGCGCCAATTGAAATCGATTACAGATTTGGATCGCACCTTGAGTTTAGATCGCTTGGGCTCAGATTTGCACAGGCACGCGCTGAGTCTGAACCGGGATCAGCTGTCGTGATTCGCTTGCGTCGTGAGTTAGAGGCTACGGAAGTGGAGTCCAGCGCCAGTTCGCAATGCATGGACAATGGGGATCATTTGTGAATTGGGTGACCGTGGGTCTTAAAAAAACGCGCGCGCGCAACATACCTACACAGCCGGTAGGCCCCAAGGTCGGGAGGGCAAAGCCACGACGAAAACACGGAACGAACTATTTCGTCGTTTTTTAGCGATCCATGATATTTCCCGGATCGTATGACGACCAAGTAGCTCCCAACCTGCCAACTGAATATCGCTTCCGAAACATAGCCAGGCTCCGGCGCCAGCCGTGCCAGACATCTCCACCAGCAGACCAAGCCAGCTCCGCACTGGTGCAGCGCTGTTCACTGCACCGCACTCGCCGCCGGACAGCACGGCCCTGCCAGAGGCCCAGCGCACTCCTGGGCGAAGTCACTACCGTCCATAACCGCGACCAGAACGGCGCACGCCGGCTCCGTTCATGGCGCGGCTGCGGCGGTTACGCCGCATCGACACGACGGGGCGCGACCATAAAAACGAACGTCGCTCCTTTCGCGCCGTTCCCCGACGGCGATGAGCCGTAAAGCGCGAAAATAATACTTGCTGCACGGTCGACAAAATTGGCACCGGCTCGTTCCGAGCGCCGATTCGGGGAAAGAATCCCCGACGACGAGGATAAAATCCCACGGCGCAGGATCAGCCATCGTGAGAAACGGCCGCCGGCCGTGATAACATGCAGGCGTGGCGAGGAGTGGTGTATGGGAGACGCCGTCAGGGGTCGCACTGCCTGCGTGACGTGCCGCCTCGCGATGCAGGATACGGAACTCTCTTGGACTCACTGCATCGTGCGGTTGTCTGATAATCGGGCTTTTGGGACTGTTTGTGACGACTAATAAAAACTACTTTCATCGAAAGTGAAAAGTTTTCGTGGTTGTCATAGCAACTGTAAACGACCGGTTACACGATGTGCGGAAGCCGTGTCTGTAAACATCGCACCCTGTAACAAGTTGAACCATCCTGGCGATAGATAGTCATTTCACTCGACATCAGCAAGGACGACATCTCCACCCACCTGTGTCCACGATGACGTCGATGATGTCCATGGACTTGGCGAAGGCGTCGCGCAGGTTGACGTCATGAAAGCTGACGATGCTGCCCTCGCGCTTGGCGCGTTCGAGGGCCTCGCGACGCTTCATTGCCTTCTCGCGGCGCATTTGGTTCTTGTAGAACTCGGCGAAGTTGTTGACGATGATGGGGATGGGCAGTGCAATGACCAGCACGCCGCAGATGGCGCACACGGCGCCGATCATCTTGCCCAGCGCGGTGTGCGGGTGCATGTCGCCGTACCCGACCGTGGTCATCGTGATGATGGCCCACCAGAATGTCTCCGGAATGCTCGTGTACGCAGTGTTCTTTGCCTCCTTCTCCGCGAAGTAGCACAGGCTCGAGAATATCAAAACGGTGATGGCCAGGAACATGAGCAGGAGTCCGAGCTCCTTGTAGGAGTTGCGCAGGGTGAAGCCCAGGCTCTGTAGGCCGGTGGAATGGCGCGCTAGCTTGAGGATTCGCAGTATCCTCATGATGCGGAAAATTTGTACGACCCGGCGAACGTCTTCAAACTGCGACTCTTTCTTGTTAGACTCGAGGAGAAAGAGAGACACGTAGAACGGCATGATAGCCAACAAGTCTATGATGTTCATGGCACCCTTGAAGAACTGCCACTTGTTCGGAGAGGCGGCAAAGCGCAATAGATACTCAAGCGTGAACCACGTAATGCACACGATCTCCACCTGTGCGAGGTACTGATTATCGCCACCCTCCTTGTTTTGCAGCGTCGGCAAAGTGTTCAACACTAGCGCTGTGGTTGAGAGAACGATGAAAAGTATGGATATAATGGCCAGTATCTGGAAAAGACCAGGAAGTCTCGGTCACGGCGCTGGATCGCGGCGGCGGCCAGTGTAACTCAGGACGACTGCAACCAAAAAGGCAGGCAGTGAAGACCGCGCACGGGGAGGCGCACTGTTCGGCGCGTGGCGGCCCACCGGGCTCCTACGACCGGAGGGTCCGCAAACCGAGCGCAACACACCGATAACCGAACAGAACGGAACAACAGAGGTGCAGCCACACTGCCAGCGGCCACAAAGAACAGGGACAGCGAACAGCGAAGGCGTGCGCGCGGCGGCGGCGGCGGCGGCGGCGGCGGCGGCGGCGGCGGCGGCGGGGGTCGGCGGCGCTCGGTCGGGAGCGTTTGAGGCGCGGTCGGGAGGCGCCCGTCTCGGCCCGAGAGCGTGTGCCGCCGGCGGGGCGCCGTCACCAGCACCGCCGGCGCCGGTGGCGGCGTCCCGCCGGCCGCCAGCGGCGCGCTGGTGCGTCGCCACTGCCCATCCTCAGCATCGTTCCCATCTAGCCGAGCATGCGGCCGCCACCTGCACTAGCGACAGACACTAAGGACGTTAGTACACACAGGCAGGCGACAGCGCGAGCGGGGGCGCCCGGCCAGCTACAACACCAGTGACTGCGGAGCCCCGCCCACCTCTCCCTGCTCCCCGGCGCTGGGAACCCGGATGTCAGGTCGGGTGCGTGCCGGCTGTGATAAATGAGCCGTTCTAACGGGGATTTTACGGTTGGTGTTCAGTTTCGGAGAGCTGTCACGTGGTGGAGAGAGTGACGCCTGTGCGTGACCAATGTGAACGATGTGGGACCACGCGGAATCCACCCCCCGGAGATGCCTTTTCCCTTCTCGGTCCGTGGTCTATCTAAACATAACAACCATGCACTGGCCGGGCGTGACATTTGAACGGTCTGCATACCACCACATCGACATCCAGGCAGTGCCGGTGACGTATGTCCCCCCCCCCCCCACAAATAACACGGAGTCCAACGACATTAACTAAAAGCCGATTGCCGAGCCCAACCGGTGTCCCTGGGAGTGCAAGAGGTTCGAGAGGACTGGAGGCGTGACAACCCCCACTAAACAAACAGACCCCGGCCGGCGGGTACCGGTTGACCCTGGGAGTGCAGAGGTCGAGGGGGACTGGAGGCGTGACAATCCCCACTAAACAAACAGACCCCGGCCGGCAGTACCGGTGCCCCTGGGAGTGCAGAGGTCGAGGGGACTGGAGGCGTGACAATCCCACTAAACAAACAGACCCCGGCCGGCGGTACCGGTGACCCTGGGAGTGCAGAGGTCGGGGGGACTGGAGGGCGTGACAATCCCACTAAACAAACAGACCCCGGCCGGCAGTACCGGTGACCCTGGGAGTGCAGAGGTCGGGGGGACTGGAGGCGTGACAATCCCACTAAACAAAGAGACCCCGGCCGGCGGTACCGGTGACCCTGGGAGTGCAGAGGTCGGGGGGACTGGAGGCGTGACAATCCCACTAAACAAAGAGACCCCGGCCGCCGGTGTTGCCCTAGTGTGTCTATCTCTTTAAGATGGGCCCGTGCTGGACTGTTTGGCACGGAGCGTGGTGATGGAAAGGCCAAGAAGGATTGCTGTCTGAATATCGATTTACGTTGCGGGGATCTGAAGCGAGCCACTATCGCCGTGGCACGCGGAGGTGAAAATGAATCTCGACTTCATGGGGACTGACGGAGCTCTAGCCACCTCTCTGCCGCGGTTGCGCCCAGTCCAGGCTGTTATTGCATGGCCGCGGGTAAAGCGCGTTGGGGTGAGAAAAACAGATTTAGTGGCGTTATTTTGAAAGCAATGTGGAGGGGAGAGTTAAACTAAACTGCGTATGGACGATCTCCTAGCTCATGACTCGCTGGCACCCGAGTCATGTCATACCATGATCAATCTTGTCACATAAACCAGCATGGGCACGTAAGGTGCGTTTGTGCAGGGCCAGTCAAGCGCGTCAGCCGAGCCGTCGAACCTCATGGCGCCCGCCAGCACTTCCTAACATGAGCCGCCAAGCGTCCCGAGCCCCACATCCACACCCCGTTCCGAAGCAACAACAGCCTGAACAAAGCGTGGCCGCAGCGAAGCCTCCGGCCCGGCCGCTCCTGTACACAGAGCCGCCCCGATCAGCCCGCAGCCAAGCGCCGCTCAGCGACGGCAGCGGCCACACTCACCCGGGCACCCAGCGATGTGGTCGGCTTCTCCATCAGGTCCCAGAGGAACTTCTGGTACTGCGCGCAGCGGCCCGACCCGAACTCCTCCTCGTCGCTCGTCTTGAGCGAGTCCGCCTCCTTGCGCATCTCCTCGTGTACGTGCTCGCGCCGCTGGTGGTACTTGTGCTGGCAGCACGACTCGAGGTACAGCTCGTCGATGCCCCAGTACTCGAGGTCCTCACCGAAAGCCATCACGCACATCTCCTCCACCAGGTGCAGCTTGCCCGTGCGGTAGAAGTTGAGGATGCTGCTGAAGGAGCGCGGGTGCCGGTCGAAGAAGTACTCGTTGTCCACCAGCGAGTACTCGTCGCAGATCTCCATAATGGCGTCATGCGTGTTGCACTCCTTGAGCCGGCCGAGGCGGGTGTGAGGCAGCCGCTCCAGTGTCGACCAGAGCACCTCATGCCGCATGCCGCCCACGTTGATGATGACGCGCGTGTTGAGCGCCTTGCTACGCATGATGGTGAATGCCTCGGGCGGCAGCGAGCTCATGGAGCGCGACTGCTGGCGCAGGGCCACCGAACTGGGGAACGCCTCGCCGGCCTCGCTGGCCGCCCGCTCGCGCGCGCCGTTGCGCTGGAGCGAGCCATCGGGTCGGTCCCCGCCGCCGGCCGCGTCCCCGCCCGCCGACTTGCTCATGCCCGGCTTCTGGGAGGCCGAGTCAGCGCCTTTCTGTGGACAGAGGTCTGGGATCAGCGCTTAGTTGCGATCAGAGGTCGGATATCAGCGTCTCTTTAAAAAAATACCAAGCAATGGTCAGCACGATGAGGTCAAATGTCAGCGGTTTTCTGTGTGCGGAGATCAGAATCAACACCCGCCGTGACCAGCGATGAGGGCTGGTCTCTATGTGGACAGAGGCCAGGAAATAGATCGAGCGTGACTGAGCGGACAACCCGCCACAATTTGGGTCGTGATCCATTTGGAGGAGTGCCCCATCAGTGCCGCCACAGCTGGTCCATTTGAAGGAGTGCGAGATTGCTCCACAGCGCATTTTCCCTGGCGTCAGTTCGTGCCAGCGGTCGCGGCGACGATAACCACGCCATGGCGTACGCCGATCAGAAACAAAACGTTTACAAACTTGGCCCTCTACATAAATGATGCTTTGATTGCATCCATCTTGAAGATCTTATCGTAATCCTGCATTAACAACTGCTGCTTTGTCTCAAAGTACAGTAACGATTGAGAGAAATTGTCCTGCAACACTCCATCTACATGCGAAACAATTATGTAGTATGACGCAAAACTGGGGTCTGCTGCTGTTATGTACCACAACAAAGCCTCTAGCATGTATGCGACTACCAGGAAAATACGCTCTCCAGACAATGGAAAAGAGGATACACGTATTTCATTCGACGGTAGGTCAATGCAACTTGAAATCTATATTTAAAGGCAGATAAAGTGCTAACCTGCAGACACGGATTTATGAAGGGACATGCCCGAGACATGATAAACTGTTCTCAACTAGCTTTATCACTGTTTTAAAATACTAGTAGCGATTTTTCCAATTCAGCTACGGTTGAGTCCAAGCATTTTGTATCATATTTAACTGGTGGACATCTACTGTATAAATGTACCAGCTATATGTTCCCACAAACCAAACGTTTCCGTAATTTCGATCTATCATTTAGCCCCTCTTTATATATGTGGAAATAACATTTCCTCCTCTGAATCACCTACACTTGCCAGGTCATACCATCTTCCACCCATCGAGCATTTCAAAGTGCTTGAAAGTAGAAGTGTTTTGAAGGCATCCTTATAATCATTGCAAGCGGTCAATATTTGGCGCCAATGAAGCCCATGTAAAGAATGAAAAAATCTGCACTTTGCTGCGGCCTCAGCCACAGAATCAGTTGACCCGACCGCTTAATGATCGCACATGTATACCAATGGCTTCAAAATTTAATGCCGGTTGCTTTAATTCTGTGTTTTGCTTAAATCAGCGCACAAGATCTGAGCCAATGAGCGAAATGGAAGACTATCAATAGACGGTTCTCATCCGGTAATAATTTACGTACTACTCCAATACTAAAATGTGACAAAGCTTAAAACGTTCCTGAAAACGTCTATTACTCATGCGATGCAAGTGTATCAAAACCTAAGAGCCCACGCTGGCATCCTTGACTAACAGGAGGCTTCCAACATACTCGAAAGAGCCGCCGGGTGGCGCTGTGGAGATCCATGTCGTCTACACTTCAGGGGCCACTTGTGCAGTCGTGACCACCTGCCGTCCTAGCGGGCCCCGCGGCCGCACCGCGCACCCCGCGCTCCTGCGCAGTCGCGTCCGACACCTCTCTGCGCGCTGCTGCCGCGTCCCGCTCGGCCGGGCGAGCGCGCTCCACCACACGGCCGTACCCGCCGCCTCCGCACGTGCACTGTCGCCGCGCGGCGCGCGACGGGCCTGCCGCCGACCCGGCTCGGCTCGGCTCGGCTCGGTCCGGCCTTGGCGCCGGCTCGTCCTCCGCGCGGGGTCGCCGCGGTGATGGCTGTCGCAGGTCAGCGGGCGACGACACTGCTCGCCTGGAGGCCCGCGCGACGGCGCCTCTCGGAGGCGCTCCACTGACGCGAAGCGGGCCGACGGTGCGCGCGTCGGCCACGAGTCGGAAGGAACTGCTGGTCGGCGACGGCCCGGCCGGCCCGGCACCGGCCCCGCGCCGTCACTGCCACGGAAACGGCCGACAACAATGCACGTGCATGCACGCGCCACGCTGGCGGCCGGATCGATGGCCGGCTGTCACATGACGGCTGGAGGACGGTCGAACCCGCGTGACAGATGGGCGAGCGGGCGGGGACACCACCCGGCGCACGGCCTAATGGGGACGAACGTGACGCGCCCAATGGAGGCGGACGCGACGTGACTGAAGGGTGAATGGAGACGGACGCGGCGCGATGGAAGGGTGCATGGACGCCAGCAACGCACAATAGGCGGACGGATAAACACGTGGACACACTCGAGTAGGACGCATGGACGGACGACTACGGCAAGATGGGGCAGGCAGACAGATAGCTATATCTTTCCTTTTTCACTTAGCCGTTTTGTCAGTGCACGAAACTGACATCGATTGGTCTAGCACATGGTCTGACATTTTTCAGAATGGCGTTGAACGAAACTCATAGTAAACATGACGGAAACCAGATCCCGATTGTTTGCCTCGCAAAAGCCTCGCCACCGAAACAAACCGAAGTATTGGATCGTATTCCTCGTGAACTATTCGATCATTTGTCTTGTGAACTTTTGAATGTCTTGTCTGATGAGCTGCTTGATAATTTCCCCAGTCATTGGCTGGGTAGCACAGAGAGCACCGTGGCATTCCACGCAGCGCCGTGACCTGCCCATGCTAGGTCGCCAGGCGTCTTTTCCATATCGAGGAAATGTGCTCACCTTTGGAGGAGACGATCCGACTGGCATTGCTATTTGCCGGTGGCTGGGTGTTCTTTTGCGTGTGCATGTGCTTTGTACTTTGTACGTCATTTGACAAAAGGTCGTTGACAAGGCGTGACGCCTTTTTGAAAAGACGCGGTGTAGTGACATGGACCGCAGAATTGATGGCAATCAATGCATGCAGTTTGATGCACGACTTTTCAAGTGAGCCGCGAAAAACATCGGAACGAAATGAACATATGTACGACCCGAGGAGAGAGAAAAAGACACTGACGCGTGATATTGGTTCGGGCCTTCCCTGTATAAGCTTGTCAATTTGAATAATGCACTGATGAAAACCCGGGGTGGGTGGAGCGTATCTATATATAACCAATTAATCGTTATTTGCATGATAGCCTGATTGGTGCAGGAGGATAAGGATCACATGCGGAGGACTCCAAAAGCCCCTGGATATATTGAGGTTTAGAAGTCGTCGGTAGCAGACCGTCGTTCGCCAATAAACATGCCTCGTTTCCATGGTCGAAAGGTTCTGAGCCCACGGAACTTGGAAACCATCGCCGGACTTAAACAAGCCGCTAGTTGTGTATGAAAACGCCTTTGATGCTGCCGTCCGCGCGCCATTTGTTCATGGGGCTGTCGGATGTCCAGTTTGTTATCACATGCCGCTCAGTGTGCCATCAATCGTCAGTAGTCGCTTAACAGGACAACCATCAGCATCATATACACCTACCGCATGCGAACGGAACGCCGACGGGTCACTTGCTTAGCTCAAATCCTAACCACCTAAAAGCCCACATGATCTGATGAAATTCAAAGGCCTTTATCCCAACGACAGGTGCACATTTCGTGGCCCATTACAAGCGTAACTTGTGAAGAGCTTTGACATTGATGACTTGAAACAGACATCTGAACGAATCTGTAACCACATGTAGCAGCACCAATTACAAACAATTGCTTGCGTGGCGTTCCTTTGCTTCGGAATCCTTATTCACGCACACACACACACACACACACACATGCACACGCTAACGCACATGCACGCGCACACACATGTGCTCGTGTACATATATATATATATATATATATATATATATATATATATATATACTCAATCATTCGAGCTCAAACATTTTAACTCCCGATAAACGACACTATGCTTAGGCTACCCAAGGTATATGCGACTAAGCCGGAAGGCTACGACAACCGATACCGAGCAAAATTTTAGGAACTCAGGCACCACGACTGTGAGATATCGAGTATTGCACGAACATCCCGTTGATTCAGTCTCTCGTGTCCTAACTCTCAATGCAATACACGGTCCTGCGCTAAGGGCTGTCCAAATCACAGCCGGCTAAGCCGAAAGGTTAGGTTGACTTTTATCTCATTTATGGTCAGAAAAACCATACCAGCCGCCATCAGTGCTTATCACGAGAAGAAAAATATTTATAAACCTGCAAAACTTGAACACTGTTGCTTAAACCAGATCTCGAAAGTATGTCCCGGCAACTGAAGTTCGATTTTTGTCCACACAAGAGCTTCAAACTAATGATGCCAAAAAAGCAGGAGGTCTTGTTTGTTTTTATAAAGGATCAAAAACTAATTTGATGTTCGAAAGCAAAAGAGACGGACAGAAGCTAGACTAAAAACGGGCTGTGCTTTTAAATAACATGAAGTTTAATGCCTCAGGTTCGCTATCTTCTCTTTGTCTTCGAATTAGTCCAAGTCCACTATCTTCAAATTGTCTACGGACCAACTTCACTAAGTGGTGTGTCTCAAATCTCTTGCGTCGCCCCCAAAACCAACGCCTTTACACGCATATAGAACGATGTTAGGCTTAAGGTGTATGTTGAAAACAACATTTTTTAAATTTCCAGTGACAATTTGACTCAGCGAAACCTGGTGCCAGCGGTATTTTGGTGTAAGTGTTGGTTTAATCCATGCAACTTGTTTGTTGCAAGGTATCATAGAAATTACCTGAATATATGTTTTTCAGCATTACTTGTTCCAATTTACCGAATATTTAACTGTTTTTATGCCGACAAAATTGATAATACGAACAATGCTCACATTTAAAGCATGTTGTTTACGTATTGAGCAGCGTTGCAGACGTCGTGCTGAAGACTTCTTTGACCATGGATAATAAGTGTTGAGTGCTGCATTTTTTGGTGACTGGCCGATTTTCATCTTACACTCTCTGTTCACCAAATGCGATATTTTCTACTGCGCTTACCACATATCGGGCGAGGCATCGCAGTTTGATCCAGCCGTATCACTATTTACGTACAGTAGTGGC